ATTCCAGATGTGGTCTCACCAGGACAGAGTAGAGAGGAAGGAGAACCCCTCATGACCTGCTAACCACCCCCTTCTGATCCACCCCAGGAAGCCGTTGGCCGCCTTGGCCACGAGGGCACTGCTGGCTCATGGCCATCCTGCTGCCCACTAGCACCCCCAGGGCCCTTTCCCCTCCACTGCTAGGGGAAAAAAAATTTTCTTCCTCAATTCTTCTCCTCTTCCCTTCAAAAGTCTTGCAGGGATGCAGGGGAGGCTGTAAAGGCAACTCGGCCGAGCCTGGCACCAGGGCGAGGCAGAAGAGCATTTCTCTGACCTCGTTCATCGTGTGTTATCATTTCAGAAGCTCCCTCCTGGGGAGCTTTGAAGAATTCCTGCGTTAAATCAGGTGAAGTTCAGGCTGCGAAGGCCAGAAACAGAAAACTCACCAGGACTCCTGGTGGGAGACAGCCCTCGCCTCCAGCTTTTAAACACCGGCGAAGTGAGAAACGAGCGGCGGCAGCAGCAGCGTTCGGTTTGCGTTCTTTATTCCGATGAACAGCACATTAGAAACAGCACACGGGACCAGCAGCAGCTTTCGTGACAATTCCACGCGCTCCTCCGCTGTCACGAGGTCATTCAGCTGGACTAATAAAGTAGGTGATTGAAACAAGTCTTCCACTCGACACGCAAGCACTCACTCACCTGCCACTTGAACTAGGTTTCCAACAGAATAAAAATAGATACACCCCGGAATACAAAAAGTTTAATTTTAACTTTTTTTTTTTAGTTTTTTTTTTTTCTCACTAAAGCCTTTATACAAATTGATAAAAGGGTGCACGATTTCCTAAAATTTTAGGTACGTTTTAAATGAGCCTTTTTGGTTTTTTACTTGGTAAAAGGATCCACGTTCCTGTCTTTGAACAGAAGATGATGGCCAAAATTGCAAAGAAAATTCCTGCCCAAATTTACAATTTGTACACTTGGTTGCAAGTGACTCCTGCACTGAGTAGCAGGCCCATGGCTGCTCACGCACGTCCCATTTTTTCCCCCTCCAAAAAAAGCTGTGCACCCTAACTTCTAGTTCAGGAGCCTCCTTACTCCTGGAAAACCGGGCTGGGGGAACAACCCCTGAGGCTTTCAGCGGCCAACGAGAATGGTCCCAACCGAACCGAAAGCCCGAATCGTTGGAATCGTGCTCCTTCTCCAGCAAGAGGGACCAGCGACTTGTTTTTTGGGGTTTTTTTTTCACAGCGCAAGTGGCTGCGTTTCAGCCGAGCGCTTTAACTCCAGACCCTGGTACTGAAACATACTGGAACAGGTAAATTTGGTGTGCTAAAAGTTCACTTTTTTGGTCAATACAAGCTATCATGATTATTATTTTTTTCTTATTATTATTTTTTTCTGCTTTTATTCCTATTCCTGACGGGTGAAGCCCAGCAATTCTCTACCATTATTCACACAGAGCTTCACAGCAGCATCTGAGAACTGGCAGCACCTGCCTAAAGGGTGACCGACCCCCGCTGTGACAGGCGTTAGCATTTACAAGGAGGCGAATTTATTCAGAAAATTAATTAGTACAGTTCCCTTCATGCCACCCCTCCCTCCCTCCCTCCCCCTACCCCGACCTACACCTCAGCGAGGTTCAACGCTTCGGGTGAACTAGAAACGGAGCTCGAGCGCCGGCACGGCGGCACCGCTTCGCGTGGAGCGGCCGTTCGAACCGAAAAACGAGGAGAAATGAAAAGAAAACCCTGCCCGGCAAAAGCGACAACGGCCCCTGCGCTGGCGAGGCTGAGCTACCGGAGACACCCTGGGGACAGCTGGCGTAAGGAAAAAGCAGGGCAAATCCATCAGGAAGCCCCAAACGAGTCTTCAAAGAGCTCAGGGGAGCACCCATCTGATTTTGCACAATTTGAGTATTTTGCCAAAAACCAGCTGCCTTGTTTGGGGTTGTTTTGTGTGTGTTGTTTTTTTTTTCCTTATGTTCATCATGTATTTCACTGTTGAGTTTTAACCGATGAGGTTAACGCTGATCTGAATCCCAATTAAAGGCAATTTTTGTTTGTTTGTTTTTAAAATCTGGTTTAGATAGTTACACGTTGCCCACTTTTTTTTGTGGCAAGCGTATTTTCTTAGAATTCCAAAAGACCTTCCCGTTTTAAGGCTAAACTAAGAAATGTTAAAAGCTTCTGTAAACATTTCCTCTTCCTCCCCCTAGTCGCACAATTTGAAGTCCAACTGCAATTTTTCAAATGAGGTAATTTACTCATATCTGAAAGAGTCCTTTTCGGGACGAGCTGAGAGGCGTGCCAATCTGAACGCTGATCCAATCGGAGTGGGAGAGCTTCCGTGGCGGGATCCACCCCGGTTCCGGCAGCTGCGCTTCAGTTAGTGATCTTCTCGATTTCATCCAAGTCGTCGGTGTCCAGTTTGTTTATCTTTTTGCCTGGGAAAGAGGAGAAATGAGTCAGGTTCGAGACAAGGGAAAGCTGGCCTTGAGGGACAGAACCACAGAGTTGGGTTTGGGTTGGAAAAGACCTTTAAGATCATCACGTCCACCCGTTACCGAACTCCGCCAGGCTCGTTTCTAACCCGCGTTCCCGAGCACGACGCCCAGATGGCTTTTAACCGCGTCTGAGGATGTTTGCGTTTATCCACGAATCGTTCAGCCAGGTTTTAAAACTACAACATCAAGATTTTTCTTTTATCAAAGGCCCATCTGGGTACTCAAGCGTTACCCATCTCTGGAACATCCATCGAGGTTTATTTCAATTTATTTCTGCTCCTCCATAGGCAGTCCTCAACTCCAAAACACATCGGTTTAAGGCTCAAGAAATAGCTGCTCAGCGCCGAGCTGGTCAAAATTCTGCAGAAGCAGCAGCGAATTTTAGGGCAAGAAAGGAGTCTGAGGGTACGTACTGAAATGTTCCTGGATTCTGTTGAGAATATTCATGCTGTGCTTGCTGTCCACCATGTTAATGGCCAGTCCTCGCTTGCCGAAGCGACCCGTACGCCCGATCCGGTGCAGGTAAGTCTCGTTATCAGGATTCCCATCTTTATCCACGGGAAGGTCGAAATTAATGACGACAGAGACCTGCTCTACATCGATCCCTGACAAAAAGAAAGCCGGCAGGTCACACGATGACATTTAAACCACTTTAAAGAAGGAGCAGCCCCATCTGGCCTGACCCGCATGAGTCTGCTCACCACGTCCGTATCACCCTGCGGTGGAATTTCCGACAGGTTTCCGAGAGCTGCTGCACGGCCCTGAACTTGGAAATGGAGCTTTTCCACAATATCCTCACGGGGCACTTGGTAATCAAAATTATCTAGCTGATACATCAGAGACTCCCACCGGCGTGGCTAACAGAAAAGCAGGCAGAGATGCTTTCAAGTTACTTTAGAAACTCTCCTCCTCCTTCTCCCCAAAGCTGTAGAGGCCTCTTGTGTTTTTTGTTGTGTTTTTTTTTTTTTTTTTCCAAGTGTTATGATGTCTTAACTGCTCTAGGATGTCCTATTGCAACACCAATTCCTATTGGAATTTGGGACTTTTCAGATTTCCGTGTTTCAGCACATGTTTATATTAAACCCCACGGGTCAGCAGCGCGAGCTAGGCTTGGCGCCAGCTGCATAAAATTCTCGCAGGGCGCACTTTTCCAGCTCCAGCTCTGCGTAGCCCACACGGAATCCTGTGTTTGCCTACAGGCACCTTCATACGCACGGACACGCAAGTTCAGGGATTATTTTAAAAGACCATAATTTATCCAGACTGAAACATCTGAGGGTGCAAATCCTTTCTGCAAGCTGGCCAGCTGCGCGTTATCTTAGGCCCTGCTGCCTCTGCCCCTCCCTGGCCCGGCTCCACCGTGCCCTACCTCTGGCACAGACGTTTGTGGTCACCAGCACCTTCTCTTTGCCCTCTCGGAAGCGCTCGATCACCGCGGCTCTCTGTTCCACCATCATTTCCCCGCTGAGCAATGCCACCTGATGGCCTTCCTTGGAGAGCTCTGCCGCCAGCCAGCCGGCCGTCTTCCGAGTCTGAAACACAAAGCCAAGGTCCGTCGGTGGAAGTTTTAACGCCGTAAGGCGGGAACAAACCTCTCCGGGGTCAGCTGGAAGATCTGCGGCCGTTCAGGTTTCGTATCTCAAAAGGAAACAGCTGAGCCTGGCTCCCAGCTCTCAGCTCAGGAACAGGGAGGTGCGCGGCTGCTGTCCTGGGAATCCTTCCTTACGAAAAATACACCTTTTCTTTGTGCTCGTTCACTCTAGGAGGGATCACATCTGCGCTACAAACTCACAAGCAGCGGCAACAAACCAAACTGCTCAGCTTGGAAAACGTCAGGGTTTGGGCTGAACGCAGTTGTGAAATCCTTACGTGGTCCCAGATGGAACAGCTGCCAATTATGGTGACTTCTGAGCTCTGATTTTGTCTGATGTTACTCGATCTCGAGGCAGCAGACTCCAACTACAGGATTTACTCTGCCTGAGCTAGCTCTCCTTACGTGGTTGCCGGCAGCACTGTGTTTTTTCTCCTAAAAGTTATTACGGTAGCTTCCAAGAAAAAAAAAAGTATGATTGATGGGAAGACCCCAGAGGTCCATCACCAATTCCCTAAGGGAAACGGAGTCTCAGGCAAAACTACGGATCAGTTGCAGAACTACGAGACTTCTCTATCCCTCATTCTGCCCTATTTTTATCCTTTTTCCAGCCTCAGGGTTTTGGGCTTTTTCCGGTCGTTCTGATTAATACCGTTTTTGGAAAACTGTGCGTTACTCTGATCTTTGCTTCGGAGGATTTCAAGAATAAAAATGATCCAGATGGACAAACCCAGAGGAACAAAGCAGCGAGCGCTACCATGGCTCTCAAGATTTCCTTCAAAGACAGAGCCAGAAAAATCAAAGAAAAGGGCAATTCACGTTCTCAGTTTCTTTCTGAAAAGCGTGCCCGGCCAAGTTTTTAACAAGAGCAGAGAGTAACGGGGTGGTTGGTCCCCCAAAAGGACTCACGTGGCAGAAGATCATGGCCTGGGCAATGGTGATGGCGCCGTAGATGTTACAGAGAGCCTGGAACTTCTCATCTCGGTTGCTGGACAGAACGTAATACTGCTTTATAGTGTCCAGTGTCTCCTCCTCCCGCTTCAGTTTGATGATGTTCGGGTCAGGAACAACTTTCTGGGCAAACTTCCACACAGAATCCTCAAAAGTGGCTGAAAACAGAAGCATCTGGCAGTCCTTGGGGAGCATTCTGCAAGAGAGAGCGAAATGGGCAGGGCTCCCGTGCAACGTCGTCGCGTCCCCCCCTCCCTGATATCCTGATGGGATTAACGCTACGGGCAAAGCAGAACAATCGCCTCAGAAAGTTATTTCAGTGGCTGCAAAGACGAACGTGAATCTTGCCAACACCCGATCGTTCTCTTGTGGACCAGTGGCATCCAGACTCGTGTTCTTAAAAATGAATAAACCTTAAGTTTAATAAAACCTCCGAGGTTCTTCCGCAAGGAAATGAAACCACTTGTCACGCCATGACGTTCTACCTCTAATTAATCATCTGGATTAGAGCTAAATATATCAGTTTAATCTTGTTGTTTTATCGGGGAAGACACCGGTCGAGAATCCAGCCCTGCTGTCCCCACGTTACAAAAGAGAAATAAAAATCAACTCAGGCAACGCACACCGAGTCACAGAATCCTGGAATGGCCGAGGCTGG